GTAGCCTCAACTGCTAGGAACACACTTTAGAATGAATCAGAGAGCTGTCAGATAACTTTGAAATAATTTCTGTTTGGGGAGGAGGGTAAGGCTCCACAGAATTATTTGCTTTCTTATCACTTAGTCTAGATTAACAGTCTGGTTCACCTGTGTCTCGCAGCATTCTACCTGTCACTTCTTTTCTTTTTTTTTTAAAGATTTGTTTATTATTATTTATTTTACTTATTTTTTGGCTGCATCGGGTCTTAGTTGTGGCACGCGGGATCTTAGTTGAGGCGTGCCGGATCCTTCGTTGCGGCACGTGGGCTCTTCGTTGCAGTGTGCGGGCTTCTCTGTAGTTGTGACAAGCGGGTTTTCTCTTCTCTAGTTGTGGCACACAGGCTCCAGGGTGTGTGAGCTCTGTAGTTGTGGTGCGCGGGGTCCAGAGTGCATCATGGGCTCTGTAGTTGGCAGCACACAGGCTGTCTAGTTGAGGCGCGCAAGCTCGGTAGTTGTGGCGTGCGGGCTTAGTTGCCCTGCAGCATGTGGGATCTTAGTTCTCTGACCAGGGATGGAACCCACCTCCCCTGCATTGTAAGGCTGATTCTTTACCACTGGACCACCAAGGAAGTCCCTACCTCTATCACTCCTTAAAAAGGAATATTTAGAATGTATTGTGTGACATTGCTGATTTGAGATCAGTCTAGACTAATCTCACCAATCAGGCTATCAAGTGGAGGAAGCAGGGTAACAGTACAGCTAAGATCATTCAACAGGAAAAATTAAAACAGGATGAGGCGCCACTTGGCTTCCACTGGCCATTTGGTAAGCTTCTAGGCCATAACATACCCAAAACGTCCAGGTGTTCAGATTTTCCTGTGTAGTAGAATATCTCAAAAATACATATCAAGTATGCAGTACTGTCATAGAGTTTCAATCCATTATGAAAGGCAGGGTAAGTAAGATAGCTGAAGTCAAGCATTGTCTACCTCAGGGTCGGTAAACTACAGCTTCAGTCTCAATATTAAGTATCATTCTCACTACCTATCTTTTATGCTCACTCTCTTTAGTATCCTAATTCCAGTAATCCTGCAACTGCACCAAGACCAAAATCCACTGATACAGATCACATTTTCACTGTCCCTCACCTCTTCATTTGTACATTTCCCACTTTGCCCACCTTAAAATCCATAATCCATCATTATAAGCACTGTTCTGCATGTCTCCCCTGTGTCATCAGGTTTTCCCTTTACTGCTCTGTGATCAACATACAAATAGGCTATTATTTATCCTACGTTAAAAAAAATTTCAACTCCACTTCTCCCTCCTGCTGTTGTGTCACTATTCTAGCTTCCCCTTTACATTGAGACCACTCAGAAAGACTTGTTGATGTTCACTGTTTTGTCTCTTCCCATTATTTTTAAGTATACAGTATAATGAGTTTTGACAAATGTATGCATACAATCAGCATTCTATTAATACTTAGAACATTTCCTTCACAGCAGAAAGTTTTCATGTGCCACTTTGCAGTCAATACTTAGCCCTACTCTCCTCCCTGGGCAAACACTAATCAGACTTCTATCAATATAAATTTGTTTTGCCTGCTTTAGAACTTCATATAAATGGAATCGTGTAGTAGGTACTCTTTCATTTCCAGCTTCTTTCAGCACAGTGTTTTTTGAGATTCATCCATGTTGATATGTGTCAGTAGTCTATTTTTTTATTACTGGATACTATTCCACTGTATAAATGGGATTCTGCTCATTTGTTTATCCATTCACCTGTTGTCGAACACTTAGACTGTTTCCAGGTTGAAGCTGTTACGAATAAAGCTGCTGTGAATATTTTTATAAAAATCTGTCTTGAGCCCACTCTCACCAGAACTTCTGCCTCCACAACTCCATTGCAACTGCTCCAAGGTCACCAGTGAACTACATGTTGCTGATTCCAGTGACCAGTTCTCAGCCCTCGTTTTACTTGCCTTACTAGCAGTACTCAATGCCGATGATCCCTCTCCTGGAAACGTGGGCTTGGCTTTCCCTTCCTCCTCCTTGGCTTTCTCTTCACCTTTGACATGTTGGCACCTTGGTCCTGGGATCTCTTTTCTGTCCATCTTCCCTCCCTTGGTGATTTCATCAAGTCTTATGGTTTTAAATACCAATATCTAAATGTGTATCTCCAGCCATCTTTCTTCCACTGCCGTCTGTATCCAGCTGCTCAGATGACGTCTCTAGGTGTCTCATGGGCATCTCAAAATTAACATTCAAAACTGAATTTCTGATCTTCCCCAAACCCTGCTGTCTTCCTCCATCTCAGTAATGGAACTTCATCTTTCAGCAGTAGCTCAGGCCAGAAAACTTGACCCCTTTCTTTCACTCCACATCCAAGCTGGGCAGCAAATCTTATAGAATCTTCCTTCAAAATACAGCCAGAACCAAAATAGATCTCACTACTTCCACTCCTGCCACGCTGGTCCAAACTGCTGTCATCTTTCATCTCGATCACTGGTTCTCAAAATGTGGTCAACACACCCCTAGTGACTCCAAAAAAACCTCTTACAGGAAGTCCAGGAGATCAAAACCGTTTTTGCAATAGTACTAAGACAGTGTTTGCCTTTTTCACTGTATTAATATTTACACTAATGGTGCAAAAGCAATTGTGGGTAAAATTGCTGGGCCCCTAGCACAAATCAAAGTACCAAACTATACTAGTAGTCACTGTATTCTTCACTACCACATGCTCTCATTAAAATGTCCTCATGAAGCTGTAAAAAATATTAATTTCATTAAATCTTGACCCTTGAGTACATGTCTTTTTAAATTCTATATGATACTAATAAAGCACTTTTATTGCATACTACAGTAACAATATTTGTCTGCAGGAAAAGCAGTTGTGTGATTGAGTTGTGAGCTGAACCAGTCACCTTTTTCATAGAACATCATTTTTACTTGAAAGAATGACTAAAAAGCTATGACAGATATTGTCCTGCAAAAGAAAAAAGTGAACTTACCACTTCAAATAAGACAACTGATAGGATTTGTTGCTAGTTTCAAGTTTTTAAGCTAAAATTAGAATTTTGGAAAACATTTATCTACCACCGTGAGCTTGAAGGCTTCCCAGTTCTTCCAGACTGAGATAAATGGTATAGGGAGGAAAACCTCTTTTTTCCTCTACCATTTTAAGTTCTCAACTGAGACTTCTGTAACAAAAGACAGATTAACAAGAGGAAAGCATATGAATGTATTTAATACAAGTTTTTATGAGACACACAAGCCTTCATAAGGAAGTAAATGAAGACCTTAAGAAACAATTAAACCTGAGTGTTTTTATGTTAGGTTTGATGAAGAGTGGGAAGCCTTGGGAAGATGTAGTAGGACAAAGGTGAGCTGAATTTAGTAAACCGGGAAACAGCAAGGCCCGATTGTTGGATTCTTCCGGGCAGCCCTGTGCCTTCAGAGATAAGGATGTGCCTTTCCTCTGGGTACAGGGAGGGCACCTATCACATGATGGTTTTATGACCTGCTTCAGGGGAAGGTCAGGAGGTCCTTCCTGAAGGTGGAAGAAATAAGAACAAATCAGTGTTTATTCTCATAGCCTCTGTTGAGCACTGTGGGTTCACCTGTTTGCTGAGAAGCAACAGGTCATAAGCAGACTAACAAAATAGAAAAGAAAAGAAAGAAAGAATCTTCCTTCACCTGCCATTTCTCAGATTTTTCAGCTTGAAATATTCACTGTGCCAAGGTGCCATATCTGGAGGCAGCGTGTTCTGAACCTGGACAGTGGTATAATGACTGATTTTTGACACTGTGTAATGAAATGTGTCAACATTTGGAAGAGCTGCATAATTCAGTGAACTAATATTCCCCACTCACCAAATTGCATAATGCTAATAATATCCATTCAAGGGGCAAGATAAACTACTTGTCATGTTTGGGTTTAGTATTGAAGATTATCTATGTGAGGCCATATTTTCTTCATATACCTCAACCAAAACAACATTTCATAGCAGGCTGAATGCAGAAGCCACTATGATAATCCAGCTATGTTATTCTAAACCAGATAATAGAGATTTGTAAACATGCTAAACAACACCACTCTTGTCACTAAATATTGTTTTGAAAAATATAGTTATTTTCATTAAAAAATGTTATTTCTGTGTGTGGGTTTATTATTCAGTGAATTAATCCAGGACTATAAATGTTTCTCAGTTTTAATTTCTAATATAATAGCTAGCAGTAGATGTAATCCACATAAACAAAAGCTCTCTGGGGTCCTTAATAATTTTTAAGAATGTAAGACCCTCCTGTTTTTTTCTGATTTTGACCCACCGCACCCTGCCCCTATCTGTTCTCAATACATCAGCTGAAGTAATTCTCTCAGGACGTAAATCAGATTGTTATTCCTTTACTCGAAACACTCCCAAGAAGCTTCTCATCTCCCTCAGAATAAAAGCATAAGTCCTTACATTCACCTGCAAAGCCCTACACAGCCTCACATCCCATCACTTACTTCTCTGAAGCATTCCCTACTGCTCCCCCATGGACCCACCTCCAGCCACCCTGGCCTTGCCCTCCTTCCTCACCCTCGTTCTCACGCTGGAAGGCACACTTCTGGCTGAGGCTCTTCCTTCTGCCTAAAAAGCTCTTCTCCCCAGTTGGTCCCCTGACTTATTCCCTTGTCTCCTTCAGGTCTGGCCTCAAAAGTCAGTTTCTCAACGAGACTTCTCTGGCCAGCCAATTTAAAGTTGTACAACTCACACTCACGCTCCCAATCCCCTCCCCCTCTTTTATTTTTCTCTTGGCTCTTATTGCCATCTAGTATACTATTTTACCAATTTATCTTTATTTTCTTTCTCCCTCTACTAGAATGTAAGCTCCAGGAGGACAGGGATTTTTGTCCGTTTTATTAACTGCTGTATTGTGCCCTGGCACATAGTAGGACCTCAGTAATTATCTGTTGGATTAAAAAATGAATGCAGGGAATTCCCTGGTGGTCCAATGGTTAAGACTTGGTGCTTTCACTGCTGAGGCCCAGGTTCAATTCCTGGTCAGGGAACAAAGATCCCGCAAGCCACACAGCCAAGAAAAAAAAGAAGAATGCAGCATTTACTGGCCAGTCATCTAAGACTGGTGGTTTGCTACAGTTAACCAATGATACAATGCTGGTTTATCCTAATTATTATCTATGAATTATTTTTGCCTTTCTGAGTTAGGAAACTTCTTGCATATCAGTTGTACATATTTAAATGTTTCTGTTTTTTCACCCACCCTGATGTTTTAAAATTTCAGAGCCTAAGACTATCATATGGTTTTGAGCCCACAGAAGAACCCTGGGTTTGCATAGGGATGAGTCATTTAGTTGACATATACACATTTACATAGTTTTTAATTGACTTGCATGTTCATCCTTTGCAAAAAGTACATAATTTTGTATATTTCAGAATTGTCAAAGACTAATTCTGCTGTTTGGTAAGTGTGTGGAAACTGCAGAGATATAGTTTAAACTTCTTTTAAAAGATCAAATTATTTCTAAAACAATGCTGTTTTCCTTATTTATGAATTAGTAGATACGGAAACAAGGACAAAATTATGAGTCACTCTCAAAATCTCTTCAATGCACGGCTACATAAACTAATAACATTCATAATAGGAATATTTTAGCTAATGAGAAATCTTGACCATAAATTTTCAAAATCTTACAGAGTTTTATAACAACAGTAACAGCAAGGATTTTTTCAAGTCATGTTTTTGTCTCCATCTCTATCCCAAAGGATGTTGAAAGAACAAAATGTCTTGTGTGGTTTAAGCAGTGCCTTTGGAATGTTTTCTGAAAGCAAACAGCACATTTTTCCCCATCGGTGACTGGAGCAGAGACCACATGAACGTGAATGTAGCCCCAGGTCATTCTTTCATTAGTGTGTGTGTGTCTCCAGTGACCCTCCTGCTGGGAACCCTAATAGGATTTCTTCCCCTTACACCTTTGTCTGCCCTGGCTTCTCACACTGTTCTATGGTGTTTGGTTTAATGAGGCAACTCCTGTGATTAGGGGGGTGGGGTGTGGGGGGGAGCCTTTTTCCTTAAATAGATACAAGGATAGCTGAGGGAATTCAAAATTATGTTCTGTGTTTCTTACCATTATATGTGACCCAGCATTTGATGACAGACCTGAGTATGCTGAACCAGGAAGATGACAGTAGTCACTTAATCTCAGGTCTCAGCCATGGCTGGGCAGGTTGCATGTCACAGAAGAGGCTCCATCTAGCCTTCATAATGTGGAAAGACAGAAGACTACCTGGGAGTGGAAAGAGGTGGGTGCAGAAAAGCAGAGGAGAAAGTAGGAACACTAACATTTTTCTGATGAAGTAAGAACTTGAAATACAATCTAGTGTCGATGGGATAAGCAATAAAATCTATGTGTAAGATGTCTGAAGTAACCAATTATGAAAATTGGAAGGGTAATAGATGCTGGGAAGGTTAGGGTAGTTTAAGTAAGTAAAACCCTCTTCTGCTGTAGAGAAAGGTAATAACAGATACTGCCTAAAATGGATGTATCAAAAATAGAGTTATAAATACATTATTTAAAGATTTAAAGGTGACGGCAAGAAAAATTTAAAACAAATTGTTTAACAAATTAAAAGAGGTTGGTTCTGGGGAGGAGGAGTGGGGTTGAAGAGGACTGGGAAAAGGGAATCTTGTTTTATTATGATCTCTTACAGTCTTTGATTTGATAACCAAGTATGTATGTGTAAATATATACATACATATCTGCTAAGTAATAAAAGTAAAACATTTGAAATTGAGCCACAACTAGTGACTTCTCTGATAGTCCGTGGAGAGGTGGAGCAGTGTCTGGGATGTCCAGCTCGGGTCTGATTCAGTACATCAGCTCCGGCTGTGAGCCTTGTTCAGATGTAAATGCTGCACAGAGGCTTCGAATGGCCTGCACTGATCCTGGTGTCTCAGCCTTGAGGTTGAGATTTGGATGAAAGACAAGTAAAAAAGGCTCATGATAGTAAAGAGCATTACTAAGTGCAATCTCAGAAAACTGAGTTATTTGCACATCCTTCGGATGGCCTAGAGAAATGGTCCTATCCTAGTTTGGTTACCTACAGAGAATTATGGACACAAAGTAGCTCTGGGGAGCAGGGAGACCCTTTCTCGGCCTCAGCTCTGTATCAAGTCCCACTTGGGAAAGAGAAATCTTGACTTTATGCTTGCTGCTTATGCTGGAGGTGGAAGAGAAACATAACTCTTCAGAGCTCGTTAGTCCAGAAATTTCCTTATTTTTTCCTGCTGGTGGTTTTAACCACTTGTTCCCAAATGCAGGTCCACGTGCCCTGGGGAGCTTTATTTAAAATGCAGATCCCTGGACATCACCCTGGAGATTCTCATGCTGTAGGTCTTGAGGAGCACTTGGGAATCTGTAGTGATTCTGATGTGCAGCCAGGTGTGAGAACAACTGCTTTAATCCAGTCTAGTTACGTAACCCTCACAAACCACCTGGAGAAATAGAAGATCAAAGTTCAAAGACATTGAGTCATTTTCTCAAAATTGCACTTACAGTGAAGTTAGTATTTTAAGCATATGTGTCTGCTGTGGTGTGCTGGTAAATGTTTAACAGCCAGTTCTACAAAAACAGACCTCCTCCCCTTCAAAAGAGCTCCGATTTGGAGCCCTTGACAAATTTTGGTGGTGTAAATACTCTTCCCATGGCTGACTTCAAGCTACCAACATGATGTCACTGAACTTGGAGGTGGGAAGAGATGCTTAAGAGATCCTAGATATTTTCACCATGTAGACACAACCTTAACATCAAGGACTTACTGTAAAAAATATATTTATCTATTTTAAATATAGCAGTATGTACATGGTAATCCCAAACTCCCAATCTATCCCTCCCTACTGTTGAGATTGGTATAGTGTAGGTCCTAAGAAGTGCTGAGGGAAAGAGACCTGATAACCCTGACCCAAAGTTTCCTTTTTTGTTTAACAGCATTCAGCTGATCCTGCAGAATCAGTGTTCCTTAGAATCCACTTGGGGACAAGCTGTGCATTTGGGGAAATTCTAGCAAATTGATTAAAGCACAGACTCTGGAGACAGACCACTTGAGTTTGAATCCTGACTCCACCATTAACTAGTTGTGGGTCCTTGGGCAAATATAACCTTCTTGTCTCACTTCCTCAGCCATAAAATAGGTATAATAATACAAGCACACCTTGGAGATACTGTGGGCTTGGTTCCATACCACTGCAATAAAGTAAGTCATATGAATATTTTGGTTTCCTAGTGCATAAAAAAGTTATGTTTACACCATACTGTAGTCTATTAAGTGTGCAATAGTATTATGTCTTAAAAAATGTGTATACCTTGATTTAAAAATACTTTATTGCTAAAAAATGCTAACCATTCTCTGAGCCTTCAGTAAGTTATAGGGGTAATATCAAAAATCAGTGCTCACAGATCACTATAACAAATATAATAATAATGAAAAAGCTTGAAATGTTGTGCGAATTACCAAAATGTGACACAGAGACACAAAGGAAACAAATGCTCTTGGTAAAATGGTGCCGATAGACTTCCTCAACACAGGTTACCCCGAACCTTCAATTTGTAAAAAAATGCAATCTCTTCGAAGTGCACTAAAGTGAAGTGCACTAACACAAGGTCTACCTGGAATACCTATTTCATGTGGTCGTTGCAAAGAGTAAATGAGTGAACGCACATGTAAAGTGCTTAGGGCAATGCCAGGCATCTAAAAAGCGATATGTAAATGCTTTTAGTGTCATGTTATTCTCATACCACTAGGCTTCCAGCCCAATCATTCCAGTCTCCCCAACTCTCAGGTTTCCTGTCAAGCAATCTGGAAGAAGGCAAAGGGATGGGAAGGAAGGGTCTCTTGACATCCTTTTCTGACATCAAAGCATCTCTAGCCACACTAGAGGGATATATGATTTGCCATTTTCTTCCCAGAACCTGCCAACTGGGACTGTGATTTTAGATGTACATGTATTTAAATAAAAATGCCCTTAACTAGAAACCATTTAGATATCCCATGACATTGGTTACAGAGAACTTTTCCCTTGCATTAAAAAGAATACTAGTGAGTTTGTACTAGGCCTCTTCCTTCTGAGTCAGCATCATCAGGAGCAGGAATTGTCACCCTTCACAGAAGACTGGTTCCAGGTTCCGACCTTCCGTAGCTATCTCACATCCGTAGCTTCTTCCCAGTCAGGTGAAGGGCATGAACCCTTCCATTTTTTTGCCTTCTTGCCAACTTAGCTGATTGTATTCTACTCAGTAAAGGGGATGGTGGTGAGGTAACAGCATACAGAATTCCATAAGAGTTGGCTTAAGAGAAGCTAGCAGTGACTTCATCCTACTTTTGTGAAAATCTGATTTTATTTGAAAAAGAGTGTGTTGAGGTTAAGAGCATGAAGAAGTTATTCAAAAAATATATATCTAAAAGACCAACAAACAAAAATATTTCTAACCTCACTAGTAATCAAAGAAATGTTAATAAAGTTAAGATGTCATATTTCTTCTATCAGAGCAAAGATTTTTTTTTAATTGTTAAAACCTAGTAGTGGCAAAAGTGAGGAAATAAGCACTTGATGCACTGTTATCCGGAGTATACAATCTTTTTGGAATAATATTAGATAATGTGCCTCAAGATGCGAAATGCATATGCACTTTGCCATAGCAATTTGACTTTAGAAATTTATCACAAGAAGGAATTGGACATGTAAACAAAAGTGTATGTTCAGAGAGATTCAGAATGGCTCATAATAATAAAAAACTGGAAAGGATACTAATTATCTATGTAATAGATTGAATGGTTGGTCTTCTTCACCCCAATCTGCACATGTCTTCATTGTAAGCAAAGTTTAGACTTGGCCACGTGGTAAGCTTTGGTCAATGGTACGTGGGCAGAAGTGACATTAAGCCTAAACTTTAAGAGACTTCAAGTGTTTCTGCTTTCCCTCCTGTGTTTTTGTATTCTCCCTAGCATGCCTCAGTTGGCTCTTTGGCCCCAGAAAGAGGATGAGAGACACATGGAGAAGAACCATCTTTGCCAGCCTATAGATAGAGCAGCTATAGACTGAAGCAGAACAGCCCAGCTGAGGCCAGGCTAGCTCAGCCAAACTCCAGCCAACCTGCAGACATGTGATATATGTATGGAATTTATATAGAATATGTATAATTTATATAGAATATGTATATTGCTTAAAATTGTTTTAAGCCACTGAGTTTGGGGATGATTTGTTATGTAGCAGTAGTTAACCAATACAGACCATCAGTAGACTGTAATATGTTATTATATGGTAAACCATACTACAAAACTGTTATAAATGGTGATATGATCTATATTTACTGACATGAAAAGATGTCTATTCAATATTGTTAAGTGAAAGAAATAAGATTTCAGAACACTATCTAGGCACAAATACACGCACAAACATACATAGATGTAAGAAAGGATGTTTTGCAGTGCTGACTTCTCGGGGGGGCAGTCAGGAATCAGGAAAAAATTGTTTTTCTTTTCTCTATAGTTTTGTTTATTGTTTGATTTTATTTTTCAAAGAGCATCCACCTGTTTTGTAATCGGAAATAGGGTAATGGCAATAAATATCATACGTACTGAGAGAACAAAAAGATGAGCCTTTGTAGAATAAAGAGAAATGCAGTTAGAGAGGAAAAGAGGAGCCCAGATTACATGCAGCCTTGAAAGGTGGCTAGAGTTCAGATTTGATGTATAAAGAATTAGAAGTAGACGTAATAATAGTTAGCATTGATTATTGCTTATGCTAAGTATGACGGTAAGTGTACTGTCTCACTTGGTCCTCATAGCAATCTTATGAGGTCAGAGTTTTAACTTTTCTTACTTTACAGAAAAAGAAACTGAGGTTCAGAGAGGGTAAATACTTTGCTGTGGCTCACACAGCTTGGATCTGAACCCAAGTCTGTGTCCAGAGCTCATCTTCTCTCCAGTATACACGCTTATTCTCACTGCATGGCTTTGAGTGGAAGGAGGACATGGAGGAGTGACCAGGAAGCACCAGGTATGGAATCCAAATACCCGAGGGACTGTGGGTAAAGGATAAGTAGAGAGTGTTAGAGGATATGTCACAGAATCAGCCAGAATGAGAGGTCAGATCCTACCGCTGCAGTTAGGAGCTGAGTAATTGTGCACCAGTTACTTAGGCCCCTCCAGCTCTGGCTCTATCCTTCCATGAAAACATAGAATAAATAATAAATGCCTTCTTCCTGCTCACAGGAATTACTTCAGTGCCTGGCATAGAAGACACCAATAAGTGATTGCTAATATTTTAACATAAGTAAAGGCACTTTGGAAACTGTAAAATGCCAGTCAGATACTAATAGTTGCTATCTGTAATTTGAATGATCACAATAGTTAAAGGAAATTGATCAAGTCGGCTGAGGAGAGATTGGAGTCGCCTGAGAGACGGCTCGCCTGACCTGTGAGTGTCCTGATGGGCTCGGGACGGGCTGGCAGTGGGGATGCCTGTCAGGCAGGGGAGACATTCCAGTGGAAGAATCCACAAGAATTGGCAACTGGCCGGTAACTGAAGATGCATGAATGTGACAAGTTTAAAAGGCTGCCAAGATTTCAAACCTGGAAAAATAGTGATGATCTTGATGAAGAAAGCTTCATTCTCAGTTTGTGGGAAATGTTTGAAAAGTCAGGGAAAAACTCTCTGTGAAGGATCTGTTCACTCATTCATTCATTCACAAATACGTATGGAGCAGTTGCCATGTGCCCGGCACTGTAGTGTACTCAAGCAGATTACGGTGTGTGGTAAGGGCGGCGGGGGACAAATATTAATCAAACAAGCACACAAATCAGTGTAAAATATGCCTCTGATACAGGGGGTGATGGAAGCACAGAGCTGGAAAATGTTTCCTGAGAAAGTGATGATTCAGCTGAGATCTGAAGGAGAGTAGAAATGTGAACAGAGTTTAGCTCAGGCTGTTACTTTGTAGATGCGCAGATCAGCTGTCCCAGAGGCCATTTACATCTTGCCGTGTAAATCAGAGGTTCTCAAACTTGAGTGTGCACTTGAATCCTGCTGAGGGCTTCTTAATACACCAGCTTCTGCGCCTTCCCCTCAAAGTTTCTGATTCCGTGGGTCTGGGTGGGGCCTGAACACGTGTGCATATCTAACAAATTCCCAGGTGATGGTGATGCAGCTGATCTGGGGGCCAGCCTTTGAGAACCGCAACGCTAAGTGAACAGCCACACCACCTCTTGCCAATTCATAGTTCAAAACATGAGCAACTTCTAACAAATGTTTCCCAGGTTGCTCACCACAAAAATCAATTTCCAAAGTCTTTGGGTTGAAATGTTTTTACACCAGGTTAAGCGTTAACATTACATGTTCAACCTTTCTCTTTACTGAAAAAAAATAAACAAAAAAACACGGCTGTAATCGTAGAATCACCCTGCAGTTAGCTCTGGGTGAACAAATGTCAAAGCCCTGCAAACAACTCTAATGGAATCTCTGAAGGGAGAAGATGAGTGCCTGGCCTCTGAGACCGTCCTGAGAGGCAGAGGGCTGTTTGAGTGCAGAGCCAGACAAGGCACATGCTGGGGGGAGTGGGCTGGTTTGGGATGATCCTGTAATTGATAGCGTAGGAGTTGTGTTCCTTGGAGGTTGGGAAAAGGGGAGCCTGCCAGCCACCAGCTACTCATATATTTTAATACTTAACAAAAAAAAACAGTCTTTAAGATTACACAAGTCATGCACAACTATGTCACCTTTCTGAAGAAACCAGAGCAGTAAAGATAAGGCCTCTCCAACACTGATTCTTCTCTCCCTTTCCCCAGAACTAATTTATATTGTCAATTTGGCATTTATGTTGCCAGGCTCTCTTCTATACAGTTTCTATGGGAACAATTGATTACTGTTTCCTGTGATGGTATCATACTCTCTTGTTTCACAACTTATCCTTTTTTCACCCATGGGTATGTGCTATGGATTTTTCCATGTCAGTACATATCTCCACCAGACTCTTCTTAATTTTTGCATATTACTGCATAACAGAACAAATGAGGTTTATTTATAGACCAGCATTGAAGTGGCTTCCTCTCCTTCCATTTTTTGTTGTTGTTTTGTCTTGTTTTTCAATGATGACAAACAGTGCCCGAGGCACCATTCTTTATGTGCCTCCCTATAGGCAGGTGTGGGTGTTCCTCTAAGGGACAGATTGGGAAAGAGAACCACTGAGTCCCAGTATTTGAAGGTTTTTTTAACCTTTTAACAGATACTGCCAAACTGCCTCCCCCTCCCAGTAACAGGGTCACTGCTTTTCCCTTCAGCGGGCTGCTCATGTCACCAGGTCTCACACAGTCCCATGAAAGCAGCTCTCCTAGCTTCTGCCTGTCCTGGAGGGCTCAGACCCGAGTCTGTGGGACCAGGCTGAGGATACAGAGCTGAGCAGACACACACCCCCTCACCTCCCCAACCCCGTTTTTCCCCTTCAACTCCAGCCACATTTCAGGATTAGGAAGCCCAGCTCATCCATTCATCACGTGGATAGCTGAATCCCATTTTTAGACTTTAGCTGAGACCTCTGGTGTACGTGACAGATAAAGGTGTCCCAGGAATTTCACTATTGCTGAGCCTGCACTTCAGAAAGAATCATTTTCACTGGGCCTGAGAGATAGCGCAGCGGTTCTCATTCATTCTCAGGACTTAGCCCTTGTGGCCCCGAAGACTTCCTGGCCTCCCTCCTCCAGGCAAGTCGAGAGCTCTTTTTGATCTTCAGACAGAGGATCTGTCTCCTGTCTGATTCGGTTGCAGCCATTTATAGTGCTGCTGCGCCCATCAGACTGGCTGAATCTTGAGAACAGATGATTCTGCCTGCCTTTAAATTCCCAGTTCACTGCCTGCCTTTAAATTCCCAGTTCACTGCCTGGCGCTTTTAGGCACACAGAAAATGTTTGTCCAGTGATTGAATGAGGCAATGAGACATTGAGACCTTCTGGAAAGTGGAACTATCACTAGCAGATGGGTTCAAGCACAAACCGGCTTGGCAAGGCAGGTAACATGGGGGCCTCTCAACGTGCGCCCTGGGTGATGTTTGTCCCTTTCTCGAGGCTGTGTGCTCGTGACAACAAAGACTCCTCCCTGCTTACTACTGTATCCCCATACCTAGAACAGAGCTTGGGACAGATAGGCCCTCCATCCGTATTTATTGAACAAATGAACGAACTCCAGGTGTATTTCCATCTGTCTTCTCTTTAGAGACACTAGCTTGATTTTCTGGTTTTCTTCCCCTCCTGGGTAGGAGGGCATGGAGCTAATATTTCTTCCCCCATCCTAACATGATGGTGTATTGCAGATGCATTTTTGCAGATGTAAGCTTGAACCTCAATGTAGGTAAACCAGAAGTACACCCCGGAGAGCTGTCAACCAGAGTCATGGTAAGCTGTCACCCGGAGTCACAGTGAGCTGTCACCCAGAGTCACAGTGAGCCGTCACCCAGTCACAGTGAGCTGTCACCCAGAGTCACAGTGAGCCGTCACCCAGAGTCACCGTGAGCCGTCACCCAGAGTCACAGTGAGCTGTAACCCAGAGTCACAGTGAGCCGTCACCCAGAGTCACAGTGCTACAGATAGGCTGAGGGCAGATGAGAATTTGGTCACTGAACTGAAACTGTAGGGCAGAAGGTAGAGGGTATTATGCTATATATATATATATTTTTTTTGATGTAGTGCTTTTGTAAGAAGTGGCCCATGTACCCAGAGAATGACGAAGATAATGTAAAAATCACTACAGATCCTGCACTCCTAAGGCAGCCACTGTTAACATGATGATGAACATCCTTGCAGGAATGTGTCTAGGCACATGCACGCCCGTGTGTGTGTGTGTGTTAGGTTATGTTTAGCTAACAATGACGGGCAACCAAAATAACGATGATGGAAACGTGATAGCAGCTCATTTCTCTCTCACCTGCAAGTCTGGGTGGGTGGTTGGGGACTGGCAAGGTTCTCCCTGGTGTCAGTCATCCAGTCGTATGCTATCTTGTCATTATATTGTATATGGCCTCCACCTCATGGTCCAAAGGACAGCATCTGCATTCTAGAAAGCAGAAGGAGGAAGGAACAAAAGAGAGAGAGGTTGAGAGAGAGAGAGAAATGCCAAAGGAATACACAATATTTCTGCTTATATCCAGTTGGCCGGAACTAAGGTACATGGCCATACCCAGCTGCAGGGGACTTTGGGAAATGTAGTCCTTGTTATAGCAGCCATGTGCCCAACTAGAAATCCTGTTACCATGAAAGAATGGAGAAATGGATATCCAGGGGTATCTGGCAGTCTCTGTCATAATGTTTATGCAACATTACTTAACAGGATCACAGAGACGGTAGAATATAGATTACAGGCTCTGAAGATGACTGCGGGCTGAAATCTGGCTTCACCACTTACTTTTCAGTTTACTTGTTTATAAATTAGGGATCATAACAGAATAAACCTATTTCATAGGACCAATGTGAGGACTGAATGAGCTAATGTATGTAAAAGGGCTTAGCATGGTACCTGACAGTAAGCTCTCAGCACGAGTTATTAATTAATCTCCTGCTTTTTCTTTTTAACGCTCACCAATATAATATGGATAAGGTTCTGTGTCATCACCTGTATATCTCCTTATATTATCCTTTTCAGTAGCTGCTCAGGATTTCATTATGTGGCGAGAACATAATTTATTTAACTAGTCCCTCATTGATCACCATCTTAGGTTGTTCTTAATTTTTTGCCTTTATCAACAGTTCTTGGATCCACATCATTTTGTACGTGCATGAATATCTCCTTAAAGTAAATTCCTAGATGTGGGATAGATGGGTCAAACTTAACGCATATTTTAAATGTATTGACATATCGCCAAATGTGGGTATCATTAACAGGTGATTTCTGAGGACACTGGAGTATTCCATTTTGACCACACGTTTTTGAGCACCTACTACATGCTGAGCCTTTTGCTAGTTGCTACAGAGAGCCCAGAGGTAAATAAAGCATGCCCTGCCATCGGCAAGGAAGTAACCAATCAGGATTTGTGGGTAGGAAATTCAGGATGCTACGAGTGCTGGTGACCAGGGCTTGAGAAGGTCTCCCTAGGGAAGTGCTATTTCACCTTGAACCTGAGGCCCAAAACATGTGTGGGTGTGGTGGGAAGGGGAGAATTGGAGAAGGAGAGCATGTTCTAGTGGAGAAGGAATGTGGGTTGAACAGTATAATGTAGAGGTGAAAAGCATGCATTCTACAGCTAGAGTGTCTTGGTCCAAGTCATGGCTCAGCCACTTATCACCTGAGAAAGACCTCTATGCCTCAGTTTCCTCATCTTTACAATAGAGATGATAGTAATAGTAGGGTGGTTACGAAGATTGAATAAGTAATGCACAGAAGTACTTAGAAGAGCTCCTGGCTGATAGAAAGCACACTGTGTCCCTTATTATTAATACTTTCATCCCACCTTTGCTTAAAAGTCTTAACCCAAGACTGTGAGAGTTCCAACAGTCAGCACCAAAGCCCCCTCTTCATTTTCCCCAATGTTGAACTCATCCATTCAACAAATATTACTGAACACCTCTAAGGGAGATGGTGTAAGCAAAATACTCCCAGACACAGGCTTCAAGGAACAAACTGTTTGGTGGTGAAGATATTTTAAATGAAAAATCCCATACAAACAGAAGCCCAGTTAGCTACAAAGCAATCTGTGCTGTTTCGAGAAGCACGGGGTGATCTGTAAGAGCCTGTCAGGGGCTTTTCCAGTGAGGATGTGACAAAATGACAAAGAAACCAAGACCAGGGGGTTGGGGAGGCTTCAGCCAAGTGGAGGGGTGAGGGGAGAGAATAGACCAGGCAGAGGGAGAGCTTATGGAAAGACCTTGAGGAGGGATGTCTAGCACATCAGAGGAAATAAGTAATTTTTTATTATTAAAAATTATAAATAATGTATAATAATTATTATAAATAATTATAATAATTATTATAATTATTTATAGGGGGAGGGTGGGGTGGAGGGAGTGAGGGTAATGGGCAGAGCGAGTGGGGGGAGAGGTCAAGGGTGAAGTGCAGAAGTAATCAGGGCTGGGTCACATGGGGTCTCCAGCTCTCAGACAGAGGCGATCCCTGGACTCTAACGGTGAGTATGGAGACTGAGTCCCCTCACGAACAAGTTTGTAGCCCCTCCAAGGTCTTAATTCCTGCCAGCCGAAAGGTACCTCCTGTCCAGTAGTTCCTCAAAACTTTTCTTGCCCTTGGCTCCCAAAGAATCCTGAGACTCAGCAGAAAAGTTCTCCACACCAGCACTTTTTCAGGAAAAAAAAAGAGCATTTAATGAACACCTATTATGGGCCAAGGAATGCCCTGAGCCTTTTACCCATCTTACCTCATTTACTGCCCAACAATCTGCAAGATAAGTAGTATTACCACGAAAACAGAGACTCAGCGTAAGTAACTTGTCCGAAGTCACACAGCTATCAAATAGTAGAGTCAGGTTTCTGAAGGCAAAGTCATGATTATTGACTCTGTGTTGCTGTGACCATGAGGCAGGCATGGCCTGTTTCACACCAGCTTCTTAGAGTCTCAGGAAGCCACTTCCCTGTGCAGTGTGATACATTTTCAGGCAGCAGTGAGCTGAAAATTACAGGAACCTCTCTTCAACCAATTGTAGAGTTCATTAAGCTGCAGGGAGCTCTTACTATCTTCAGATATTTCAAGGCAGCTCTCTGCTCCAGGAATAAAGGAAAGAACAAATACCCATCCCCAAAAAGGTGAATGAAAGCCTTTGCTAACTAAATACTGCAGATGAGCATCTTCCTCATTTGGCTACAATTACCTCAGTCCCAAGTTACATCATTGCTAGTGAAATGATTAACAAAAAATGGTAATGGCACCGATGGTAAATTAAATGGAAATAAAAGGAGCTCAGTGTACTGTTCAATTTCCCACTTGGAAAATTTCCTAAGTTGTGTTCTTCAGCTTCCCACCAGGAATTTTCACATGTAAATAAATAGGCCTGATTGAAACTGCAAACCCAGACCTCTGTGCGTGGCTAACACTGAACTGGAAGCCTGGGATCGCTTCTCTCCATCCCAAGGCTAATGTCAGTGAAGATGGATTTTCCCCTCGTGAAATGTTCTAATGAATTATGTAAATAGAGACAAACACCTTATAGGACTGACCTCTGCCATGGAATGTGACATCCTCCTGCCCTAGCCAAACCAAGTGGAACACTGGATTTAAAGAAGAATCAGGACTTCATGACAACTCAGATGCTTGTGGTGTCTGGGTTCTCGCTGCCACAAATCAACACCACCCACCAAGAGAAATTACCAACAGGTGTGACAAGGAATGGGCATGACAGCTGGGGTCCAGTTCAAGTCATCAGCAGACTCCTATCTCGTTAGAAGCCCCTTATTAGGGTTTTAGGCATAATTGTTAGTTTTTCTAATAGGACAACCTACAAGAAGAGTAAAAGCCCTGGGTTTAAAACCCAGCTCCTCCTCTTACTAACTGTGGGATTTGGGACATGTTACGCAAAAATCTTTCTGAGCGTCCATTTCCTCATCTTTAAGGTAAGGGTAATAATAGCACCTATTTATTTTTATTTATTTATTTTACATCTTTATTGGAGTATAATTGCTTTACAATGGTGTGTTAGTTTCTGCTTTATAACAAAGTGAATCAGCTATACATATGTTCCCATATCTCTTCCCTCTTGCATTTCCCTCCCTAATAGCACCTATTTATGATGTGGATTTGAGAATTAGAAAGAGAATGCATGTTGCACAGTGCCTGACCCAGACTGATTGCTCAAGAAATGGGATCTGTTCTTATCATTATTCGCCTCAAATGAAAGGTTGATTCCATTTCAGGATGAATATAAATTGGGTTTTAGACTCTGACTTTTTAACATAACTTGAGACCCTTTTGGTCTTGAAGTTAGATGTATTTCAGGTTGTACAAAATTAAACTGTTTTTTTAAAAATTACTTATCTGACACTTATTAGCAATGTAACTTGGAGCAAATCCTACCTTCACTGGGTCTTAGTTTCCTTGTTGGTTTAAATGAAATTATTGAAGCTAAAACTATAAAGCTCTTAGAAGAAAACGAAGGAGTGAATTTTCATGACCTAGGATTAGGCAATGATTTCTGAGATATGACCAAAAGTGTACAAGCAATAAAGGAGAAAGTTGACAAGTTGGACTATATCTGAATTGAAAACTTTTGTGCTTCAAAGGACACCATCAAGAAAGTGAAAGGACAACCCACAGAATGGTAGAAAATATTTGCAAATTATATATAGCAGATAAGAGGTGTGAATCCAGAATATATAAAGAACACTTACAATTCAACAACAAAAAGATGGGCAATCCAATTTAAAAATGAGCAGAAGACATTTGTATGGTCAGGCCATTCAAGATGGCTGTTCTCTTGCTCTCTGTACATCCCCTGCTTGACCAGTCCCGCTTCACTCACATGACTATCCCATTCTCTTAATTATAGAGCTTAATTAGTCCCTGGTAACTAATGATGAGCCCACCTGATGTCAATTCCCCCCGTAAATGGTAGCCTCCTTCTCCCCCAGTAGCGAAGACTGCTGCCATTCCTGCCCATGGTCTGCCACACACAGTGGGGTGTCCCTCCAGGACCATTTGTGTAAGATCCCCTGTCCCATGAACCACTGATGTTTCTGTTGCTGTCTCCAGGCTCTTTATTTGGTCTCAAGGCTCAGCAACTACTAAGGCGTGAAGGCCTGTGGAGTGCAGCCCAACAACATTTCTCCAAAGAAGTATACAGATGGCCAATACAAAAGCATATGAAAAGACGCTCAACATCATTAGCCATCAGGGAAATACAAATGAAAACCATAATGAGACAGCACTTTATACCCACCAGAATGACTATAATAAAAAAGACAATAACAAGTGTTGGTGAAGATGTGGAGAAATTGGAACCTTTGTACATTGCTAGTGTTAATGTAAAATGGTACAGACACTTTTGGAAAAGTCTGGCAGTTCCTCAAAGGATAAACATAGAGTTACCGTAAGACGCAGCAGTTCCAATCCTGGTACCTAAGAGAAATAAAAAAGTATGTCCACACAAAAACTTGTACATGGATATTCACAGCAGCAATATTCATAATAGCCAAAAAGTGGAAACAACCAAATGCCCATTGACTGATGATGAATCTTGAAAACATTAGGCTAAGTGAAAGTCAGTCATAAAAGACTACATATTATATGATTCTATTTTTATCAAATGTTTAGAATAGGCAAATCTATAGAGACAAGTAGATTAGTAGTTGCCTAAGGCTGGGGGTGCTGGGGGGGTGGGCAGGGAGGAACTGGGAAATGACTGCTCCTGGGTACAATTTTTGTGGGGTGGGGTGATGAAAATGATTCAAAATTAGATTATGGTGATGGTTGGTCAACTCTGAAAATACACTAAAAACCGTTGAATTATACACTTTAAAAACTAAATGGCCTGGACAAGATGATTTGTTTGGATCTTGCCCGATTTAACATTTTCTGGACGAGAAGCACATCTTGGAATGGAGCCAGGCCCTACTGGAAAAGAATGACCCTGCCCATGTAAGTGCACCAAGAAGGGAGAAGAGGTGGATAACTTCGCCTGTGCACGGTGACAGGATCCCATCCCTGGACCATAAACATGAGCTAATTCACAAGTTATCTGCTGCATATGCAAATTGGTGGTCACATGCTCAATAACCACTAATGCTTGATAGGATACTTGCCACATGCCTGGTCCTAAGCGCTTTCCATGGATCTCATTTAATCCTCACAACAGCCCTATTAAGCTTCAGATGAGAAACTGAGGATCGGAGGGTTACAAACACAGGAAGTTGAGGGACCAGAAGCAAATACAGTTTGACCAGTGGCCCAAGGCCTGTGGTCCTAACCTCTCTCCATCCTGCCCAGCTTTCTCTCTACATCCCCCTGGGTGTAAGGAAAACGTGTGCTTCATCAGCAGTGAGCAAATAATTGAGTTTAAAATAACCTTATCATTTCTTGCTACAGTTCTTAAAAGCAGGGGTTATGATCATTTCATTTTTTAAAAGCCCTGAATTCAGCTTTCTCGCTGCTCTGGCAGGTACTGCTGTTTGCTTTGCAAGACACACACTCCTGGCTTCCCAAGGCTAGATGTGCACCGCTTATCTAAACCAGGCTGACTGTTCTCTCTTCTTTTTCCTTTGCAAATGTCTGTAATCCAGCAGCTTCCTGGCAGGCTCCAGGAGCTCCGGATTGCTCTACACCTGGGAAGTTTGCTACGGAAGGCTTAAAGGAGCCAGATTTTGAAGCGCCTGCTATTTGTTTTTCCTCTCACCTCCAGCCATAACGCTTTATTTGCACCCTAATGATTGTACCACCGCCAGCGATTCCTCCATCATAAACAAGAAAATGAGTGGGAATGAGGAGAGCAGTAGGAGATGTGAGTTGTGCTGCCGGCCTTTGCCCCAGCTATCCTGACATCAGAGCCTGGGCTGCAGGGCACTTGCCTCTAGCCCGACTCTCCCTGCTCACACAGGTGGCCCAGCTCTCATGCTGCTATCAAGCGGGGCCCAGGCCAAAGTTCAAACCCAACAGAGGCTGCACAGAAAGACCTGAATGTCTGCTTATAACTGAGAAACACCTCTCAGTCCAGCTTTGGAGCTTGCCATGGATATATGGAAGGCTGGTGCCCAGGTCTCGGAAAGAACTGCCAGGCTCCATACAAGCATTTAGGCCTCCACCACGTGGACAGCCCCACAGGTGAGGCGAGGCTGCCATCCTGCCCAGATCCCCGCCCTCATCCCTGCGCAGCCGCGAGCTAGGAGCGCTCGCCGGTTGCCGGGGCTCAGTGGACTGCCATGGGCACCAGAGGCCCCTTCGGAATGATGCTTCCTTTTCAGATAACTAGTGCTTGTGTGAACGAATTGCCAAGGTCTGTGTTTTATAAAAATTCCCAAACCTGAAAACCAGAGTTGTATGATGACCTCACCTGGAGTATCAAAACTGCCCGGAGTGCTGGATCCCTGCCCCTCCACATACCCCACTTCCAGTGAGGGCCCCCTGGGGGTGCTGAGCCCAACCCTGGGATTCCCTGTCTACCACAGATCTAGGGGTGGTGGAGAGTCCCAGGGCCATGCTTGGGCTACCTTCCTGCATCGCCTGATCTCCCAGGGTCAGATTTACTTCTCCAATGAATGTTCCTTTCTTCTTTAGCAAGGAAGCCTGAAGAGTAAGTAGAGCCTGACTGGGCACAGAGCCAGATCCAAGGACAAATCTACTGTCTCCAGTCCCTGCAAGGAGGGCCAAGAAAGCAGCAATAAACTTAAGGGGATGGCGATCATTCTATTTTCCAGGACTCCATGGAGGTAAGGTAACAGGCATGCTCTGATAAACCGCCTAAAGTGGGTGCAGGTGGTGAGACCTTCCAAAAGCACTGCCTGAGTAACAACAGGTAAGTGCTGCCTTCTGAGCTGGAAGGGTCGGTGGGAAGAAAAGTCTGGGCCAGAGCTGCTTGGGTCAGGAAGGAGAGAGATGGAGCCCTGCTCTCCGTGCTCTCCGTCTCAGCCATTTCCTGCACGGCTCAGGCTCTTCTCTAAACGACTAAAGAATGTCTGATTGAAGAGGTGTCAATTTAATTATCAGACTCCCAGGATCCCCCAGGCCTGGTCTGGCTGTGTGGCTGGTCCCCACCCCCTGCTCCCAGCCCTTTTCCAGGCCTCCCTTTCTGCATGTGGAGAAGGTGGGGCTGGCCCACATGGGTCTCTCAGGGTCGGGCCTGCGGGGTCAGCCTGAGTCTTGCTGTGATTCACTCTGAAACCCAGGTTGAGTCATAGAATCTGAAGCTCTTCCTGTAATTTTCATGATGGTTCCCTTGGGTTTGTTTATCCGTCTCAGTCTCCCTGATTCTGGCCTGAATCTGAATCTAGGCCACAGTGTGATGAGCAAAGCAAATGGTGCAAGACAATTGCTTAGATTTGCTGTTTGCTTCAAATCTGGATTACAGTTGCCCTTCTAAGTAAGCCTCTGTGAGCACAGGGTTTAAAAACTCACAGGTGTCAAGGTCCTTAAAAATCACCAGTCCTTCCCAGTTGGTCCTGTGACTCCCTTTCTATAAAAAAAAAATTTTATAATACCCTCTTTGCTAACCTAAAGTGCAACTCATAAATAATATAAGCCACCTGTATACGTAATTTTTTAAAATCATTATTATATCCTTATTATATTATATAATAACGATCCATGGCCCAATGTGGATGAACCTCAAGAAACGTGCTAAGTGAAAGAAGAGAAACACAAAAGGCTATATATATTGTATGATCCTATTTATGTGAAATTTCTAGAAAAGACAAATCTGCAGAGACAGTAAACATATCAGTGGTTGCCTGGAGCTGGGGGTGGGCATGAGAATTGACTGCAAACAGACCCGAGGGAGCATTGAAGGAGGATGGAAATGTTCTGAAATTGCCTTGTGGTCATGGTCACCCAGCTTGTCAATTCTACCAAATCACTGAATTGATGAAAACCCTATCTGAATTGGACACTTTTAAAGCGAGTGAATTTTATATTATGTAAATCACAACTATTTTTTTCTTTCTTATTGAAATAGAGATGATTTATAATATTGTGTTAGTTTTGGAAATCACAACTATTTTTTTAAATGTACTTTATCCTTGATTTACATGGTAACTCAATTTTTAAAAAATTCAGTGTGTGTATACTGGTTGTGAAAAAAACAAATTGTGTTCACATTTAAAGCAGAGCTAGATTCCAGAGTCAGAGAACTAGGAACAAGTTCTTCATCTACATGAGTATCCAGTAGGACACGTGACAGTTGTGTAGGGTATGGGATAATTCTTCACTGTGAGGGATTGTCCTGGATACTGTAGGATATCTAACATTCTTGTCCCCTGCCTACTAAATTCCAGAAGCAGCCTCTAACCATTGTAACACTGAAAAATGCCCCTATAGAAGTCCAGATCACCCCCTAGGAAGTGGCTTCACCCCCACTGAGAATCCCCGATGTTGTCCAGCATCACATGGGGAGACTGAGGCCAAGCGAGGGGCAGAGACTTGCCTGGGGGCAGAGAGTGAGCTGGTGCTTAGCTGAAGTCAACCCAGACGTCCTAAATCAGACTTCAGAGCTCTTTGGCCTATACCAGGCCTTTTCACTCTTGCTTGTCTTTCTCTCCCAACTTCGCTGTCATTCTGGTACCTAACATGTAAACAGCTTCATCTCATTCAGAGCTATGGAAAAGGCAGACAGGGGGGCAGAGCTTGTCACTATTATGCTAGCTCATGAAATTCACCCACAGGGAATCCAAGCAATGGGGACAGCTGGTTCTGAGTCCCGAACATGAAGCCTCGGTGAGTGTGTGAGCCCAGGAATATCAAACATCCACTGTACAGACTGCTGTTCCCATCCCCTCCCATGGTAGATAGTGCTAATCACTGATGACGTGCTTGCTCTCTGAGATTGAACGCAGACTCTGCCTCTTTCTCAAGGCAGCCATTGTCAATTACCTGAAACTTGCAGAGAGAGAAATCAAGTTGCTGTCCTAGGGGTGCTGTGTCTAAAGAGAGGAAACAGGCGGGGTGCAGAGCTGAACAAAGAGCCACCTTAATCCAAGAAGTTCAGTGCAGGGGCGGCGGAGGAGGCTTCTGGGCGTGATGAACAAAGGAACAGGCCAAACCGAGAGGCCAGGCAAGGGCACTGGAAACAGCGCTTCAGGCTTTGGTTGAGACAGGCGGGTCCTAAGAGAACAGATGCTCAGTAACTGCTTGACGAATGACCCCTGAGAGAGGAACAGGGACTGTCTGCCCTGGCTTCATAGCAACCTCTCGGTCAGAGCCCAAGGAGGTGTGTGCTGCTCCCCAAAGTGAGGCTGGAGTCCGGAGGCCTCTGAAGCTGATCTCATGGGCTAGACTCTCTGGAGGGTCTTTGCCCCTTATTAGATGTAATTCATCCGGGGCCCAAGGCGTTCCCCAGCACAGCTGGAGGCGATCACAAGAACAGGTTCCTCTTAAAGGCAACCAGAGAGACTCACGCAGTGTCTAAAATTTGGAGAGTAGAGTCTAGTAGCCAAGTGCATGGGCTTTGGAGTCAGACAGACCTGGGTTTGGATCCCAGTGTTGCCAATTACTAGCTTTGGGATCTCAAATTGCTTGACTTCTTGGAGGTCATTTTTCTCTTCTCTCCGTGGGACCTAATTCACAGAGTTTTGTGAGGGTTAAATGAATAGACATTCATTTGGCTTTTCAATGTCCATTCATCTCTCTCACTGTTTAAAAGTAGCCATGCAGTTTAGTTAGGATGGCCTGCATCCTAGGTTCCAGGGATAGACCATCACTGATCTACCCATTCAGGATAATACCAGCCCTGTTGCTACACTGATTGGTTCAGGGATGAGTTACTTAGGCTATGCCAACCAACATGTGGTTTTCTCTTGGTTAGTTCAGTTTAGTTCTGTTAGAATAAATCCAGAAGTGTTGTTTGATGGTAGGAGGAGGTCTCTCTCCTTCTCTCTCTTTCTCTCTTTCTCCTCCTGGATATGAGTGAGGGATTGTGTGTCCTCAGCTTCTGCCAGAAGTCATTTCGCATCCAACTCATTTCGCAGTCCAGCCTGAGGAAAGCAAACACATGGAATAGGGCAGAGCCGAATCACAGAGAAACCAAGCCAGACCCCTGATCAAACTTTACCTGACCCAGTCTGATCTGTCCCTGAACGTTTTTTTTTTTTTTTTTTTTGCGGTACGCGGGCCTCTCACTGTTGTGGCCTCTCCCATTGCGGAGCACAGGCTCCGGACGTGCAGGCTCAGCGGCCATGGCTCACGGGCCCAGCCGCTCCATGGCATGTGGGATCTTCCCGGACCGGGGCATGAACCCGTGTCCCCTGCATCGGCAGGCGGACTCTCAATCACTGCGCCACCAGGGAAGCCCTGTCCCTGAACTTTTAAAGCAAAATTTGGGCTGGAATTCCTGTTACATTTAAGTGCTCAACAAATGGTAGCAGTCAATACTATTAGTATTATGATCAAAAGGATTACTAAGTAAAGCCAAAAAAAGGGTTTGACATTTTCATTACAAGATACAGTACAATTTTCCCAGTGGTATTCATTTATTTCACAAATTCATCAAACAAATTAATTCAACAAATAATGATTTATTTATCCTACTATGTGTCCCGCCTGGTGCTAGGTGCGAGGTTAGAGTGATGAGCAAGACAGGCTTGGTACTGCCAAATGCTCAGATCCCATCCCCACCCCTCGGAGAGGTCTCCTTCTTGCTGAGCTGGAAGGGAGGCTGCTTGTTCACAAACGTGTGCATATTTAAAAGGAAAGCCTTGCAAAATGGTCACACATGTAGAAGCTCTACATCAAAGGCAAGTGGTTCTCAGCGTGAAGATGGCAGGATTTACTCTTATCTCTTCCTGCCTTCACACACTCCACTTCAGCCAGGTACACCCTCCTCACCTTCCTCTGCCTTCAAGACCCCACCGGAAACTCTGTAAGAGGCTACCTGGCTGATGTAGATGCTTGCTTTCCTCCTCCTGGGACCTCACATCTGTTTCTCTTTACATCTCACCCTGCTCTAATCTTGTAGTCACTCAGGGTCTCCTAGCTGTCAGCTGCCCACTCTTCTAGGTGATCGTCGCCTTGCCTTGCCCTCCAGGCCCTGAATTCTTAGTTTGTGTTTACCACCATGATTTCCAACCTACTGCTCTGTCCCAAGGGCCTGCTGTAAACCTGCTGATAGTCCCACTTACTCAGAGGTGTTTATAGGTGATTTAGAGGTGATTTATCTGAAGATAATTCAATTCCTATGTTTGTTTGTTTGTTTAAGATTTTTTGATGTGGACCTTTTTTTTTTTTTTTGGCTGCGTTGGGTCTTCATTGCTGCGCGTGGGCTTTCTCTAGTTACGGCAAGTGGGGGCTACTCTTCGTTGCGGTGCACAGGCTTCTCATTGCGGTGGCTTCTCTTATTGCAGAGCATGGACTCTAGGCACACGGGCTTCAGTAGTTGTGGCACGCGGGCTCATTAGTTGTGGCACACGGGCTTTGTTGCTCCGCAGCATGTGGGATCTTCCCGGGCCAGGGCTCAAACCCGTGTCCCCTGCATTGGCAGGTGGATTCTTAACCACTGCGCCACCAGGGAAGCCCCTGGACCATTTTTTTTTTAAGTCTTTATTGAATTTGTTACAATATTGCTTCTGTTTTATGTTTTGGTTTCTTGGCGGGGAGGTATGTGGGATCTTAGCTCCCCGACCAGGGATCGAACCCACACCCCCTGCATTGGAAGGCAAAGTCTTAACCACCAGACTGCCAGGGAAGTCCCCTCAATTCCTATGTTTTTGTACCTAAATTCCTG